CCCCCCCCCCCCCCCCCCCCCTCCGACCCAATACACCGTAGTGTTTGAAGAACTTCCTCTGAAGAATCATTATGCACCCTTGCAAGTCTACTACACGGTGTTTAAAAAAATCTGAGCCAAATTATTTGCGCTATTAATGACGGTAAATTTTATTAGATTGAAATAATTTTTAAACACTGCATGTTTGTGAAGAAGATATGTGACAAATTTGAAGAAAATTGACGCATTGTATAACATTCTATGCCAGTTCAAACTTGATAGGTAAAAAAGTCTGCCATACAAGCCCGCTGATGCGTTCGCCTCAGTCAGTGAACCTAACCTTCTTGGTCATTCTGCATGGCACATACAGATTGGCTTGCTGCAAGGCTGAGGCGGATGCATCAGCAAGGACGTCCGGTGCATTTTCTTAATCTTCAAGTTGTAAACGGTGTCACATACGTGACAGACGGGGTCAGCATCCTTCAAATTTGGCAAAAACCTTTCATCTATCCACATGCAGCTTATGAAATATTGGGCCGATCGGATGAAATTTAGTATAATTTCTATTTAAAAAAAAAAACGAATCGGCGGTGTTTTTCAAACGCCGTGTAGTTTTTTTTTCCACTTGACTCAGACAATTCATCAATCGACTCAGACACCTGTGCATGGGAAGTTCCTTGAGCAAGAGCATGAGTCAAGTGAAAAATACTCTAATTTCATGATGCACTAATTTGAGCTCGTTTGCCAAATTTCGTTACTCTCAAACTTAAAAATATCAGTGATGACCCACTACACTATCGCTGGTTTGTGAATGAAGATGAGCTGAAAATTCGTGCATAGGTGGTGACATATTCAGGTCTCACGTTTAAAGTTAAGAATGTTCCATGGTGATATTGCCTTTGAAGTCCCTCCGGCGAAGCTATTCTTTCATTTCGCATAAATTCCGTAATAATTCTATGAAGCATGTAGAATTGGTGTCTGAAAGACATCCTGTAACTTCTCCAAACAACCATAGATTACCAGACAAGGGAGAAGAAAAGGCATTTCCCCACAATTCAAGTCTTCACTGTTGTCATATGAGAGCCAAAAACCATATAGTTGTCAGAAGCATACCTTCTCACAAAGTATAGTGTTACCATGAAATTTAATCATATAATCGGGATCAGAGGATGTCAAAGAATTGAAGACAGGAGTGAACTTCGAACTTGCACAAAGACTTTAAAAATATGATCTAATTTTATTAATGTATAGGATGAGTGACTTTATCAGAGAATTGAAAATAAACATAAAATAATAGTCTGTTAATAATGCCCTCGGCTTTATTGTATGCTTTTAACCCCTTGAACACATGATGCAACCGTATGTGTCACAGAGGAACTAGTTGCTCATGGGGGGGAGGGGGAAATATCACAAGAGGAAGTAAAGTCAGAGGTAATAGCAGCAAAAGTAAAAGTAGAGAACTTTAGCAGAAGCAAAATATTACTTTATTCAATACAAAATTTTAGCATATTACAGCAGGATATTGTTCAATACCTGGTGTGATCAAGGGGTTAAAAAAATGATACTGAGCTAGACACCTATGTAACCAATGGTTCAACTGTTAAACTTTTGAGCATGAGCTTCTCATATTGATGGGTATAGGAGCTTGTTAGGAAGATACAATACTCACTTTTTGCAAGAAACATTGCAGTGAAGAACCATCTCCCAGGTGGGATGGAAATAGTGTTCCTACCTTTCCTTCAGATCTAATGTAAGCCCCATGACGACCATTGCATTCTTCAGAGTACTATAGCAGTGTTTCACCAGATTGGTGTGAATCACTTCAAACGAGTGCATAATGAGGATGAGAATGAAGGAAGGCACACTTAGAAAGAAGCATAAATATTTTTGGAATCAAGTTCATGACTATGGAATTGAAGGCTTCTCCACAAATGATTCAGACATATTATCAAGCCCACATCAAGAGGACAAGGATGTGGAAAGAAAGACAGAAAGGATGGTACAATTTATCAAAATGAGTTCAAGGTTCAGGAGGAAAAATCTTCTCCACAATTCCCAAACACTGGAGTCCATCAAAAAGGAAAAAGTTGTTGTGAGGAGTATCTTTGTGGGAAGAGGCTTTGATGGCCTCCTGAGCCAGAACACCACCCACTACAGCACAAACTGGGCTAAGTTCTCCAAAAACCTTCCTGGTTGGGATGAGAAAAACATGCAATTTTCATACTGATGTCAACCACTGAAGCAGAACATTTCATCAAGGATCTGGAGTAGCATTATCAAAAGTTCTGATCAGAAGTTGGAAACTAGGAATTTGAATAACACTGATGTATCTAACTGTCTCAAGGAATTTCATTACAGAATGACTATGAATCACAATTACAAAAAAGTTCTAGGAGAGAATTAAAAAACACACACCCAGCCATGACACAACAGCCAAGGAGATACCTCACTACCATGTGCATGCCCTCAAAGTAGTGCCTTGTCTGTCATGCCATAGTCAATAGGGATCTTACCCTCCCAGCCTACAAAACATCTGTCTTGATATCACTCCTAGCCCTGTAGACTTTTAAAATGGAGTATGACATTCTCACTAAATTATGCCGATGAAGGCAAAATATTTGCAGACTGACCAAAATTCAGGAAAAATACACAAGAAATGTCATGGTAGGTCAGTAAAGAGTCAAAAGGTTGGCCTTATTCCAGTTTGTTATTATCCACAAGTTACATTTAAAAATGGAATAATCCTTCAAGCCCTTGTGGAATTTGCTGTGCATAGAACTTGCTGCTATAACAAAGTATGCTTCGTCTTGGATCCATTTGGTCAATCACTTACACAGTTTGAGTGATTGACACACCACAAAGGTGAAAATAAACCAGTATGAAGATGAAGATAATGGAAGGCAAGGCAGGATGATACAGAGCTATTTCTCTAAAAATTGAAATATTCATATGCATACTTTCCATGGAGGTGCTTTAGTGACAAAGGAACTATGAGTGAAAAATGAAAGGCCTAAAAGCTTTTCTAAGGTAGGGAATAAATTTGCAATAAATTTCTCCAAAATTTTCAAACATATTTCACCAATTCTTTTTAAGGAAGATGTCTGGTTTTGAGAAGAAATAAGATTTTCCAAGGATGAAAGTAGATAAATCAGTGTAGCTCCCATATTGATTTCTATGAACTTTTCATTTTCAAGAAATTTTGATAATGCAGTCCCAGAATTTTAAAAGAGGAGCTCAAAACATACTGCTCAAAGTTTTCAGGGAGTTTTGAGAGCTTGAGATTACTCTTGTTCACAAATTCACCTATGAGATCCTGAATCTTTTTCCCATCTCCTTCCTTGGTTGATGGATGTGGTTTCCTTTTCTCCAGTTTCCTAAATGACAGTAGAGCTGAAAGAAAAATCAGTGATTGCATTATTGGAGGTAGGCATCATACAATGATCCTGGTGAGGAAATATGACTAACAGTGGATGAGAAAGTAGAGGGGGTGGATTCCTTTGGCCATAGGAGCTAATTCCTCATGTGTAAGATCCAACTCCCAGATGTCTTTGAAAGCAACAAACTCTGAGATCTTCTTCACTGTCTTCATCTCAATATCATACTTGGGTTTCTTGCTAGCTGGTCCCATGTTAGCTGGAACTTCCCTTCATGGAAGAGGAAGACAAAAGGATGCCTTCAAATACTATGAGCAGCTTAGTCAGTCTATTCTAGCATTATAAAATCATACCCAAGACATAATAGGAATAGGGGGGAGCTAAGTGACTGGGTCCACCATGATAGCTGATGAAATGACTTCAGTCATCAAAACTTCAACACATTGTGACAGCCCTATTCTTCCGATATTCTCAAATTCAGTTTGAGACTTAAAAAAAGAAAACCAATGCTTTGGGCAACTACTCATTTCTACAGATTTAATTTCCATCCCATTTGACCATTTTAATTTAAAAAATGACCTTCAAAGTCAATACTAAGGTGGATGCAGTGCTGGTAATGATAGCACATTTCCAAGCTACACATCTGCTAAGTTTTAAGCTTTCATAACAGTCAGAGATTTTCGTAAGATGTAAATAGTTGTGTGTCCTCTGGAACACAATCCATTGGTGGAAAGAAATGGATTGTAAGATGGAGTTTAATGCCTATAACTGTCAAGTAAGACCATGCTCATGGAGGGTATGGATAGTTTATGGCAAGGAGGAAGAGAAACAGTTTTTTAAAAATCAGAAGAGATAACACAGAGGAACAAAAAAGTTTTGGATTTTCCAAGAAGTTTCTTCTTTTCAGGAACAATTTGAAAATACAGCAAATGGAATCATTTTCATTCAATAACAGGAGTGAGATAACTAGAAAAAACTATTCCATAACTTAAAATCTATTCTACATGATCATGAATACAAACCGTGCATATTCGTGCTTCAGTAGGTCCTCAAAAACAAAACCAAAGAAACCAAACACATCTGCTGCAAAGAATTTGATCTTGTTTTCCCGGCAGATGTGATTGACTCTTAGAATCTGCTCAATGGAGCAGTCTGTGAGGCATACAACATCAAAGTTGATGAAGAAGGAGTCTGGCTTCTTGTCAAGGGGACCTGGATCTGCAATGACCACCACATTAGGATTCAAGCCCTGAGCACGCTCGAGTGAGACCTCTGCCCTCTGAAAGTGATTAAGAAGAAACATGGTTCATATTATCTATTCAAGATACCCATGTCAATGTAACACCTCTCTTCTCCTGTAACTTACATTGCTGCCCAGCTTATCCTTTGGGGCAAGGAATGTAGCAACAGAATTTTCTTGGGTTAGGGTTACATCATCCATCAGTGTAATGGACTTGACTCCAGTTAGAATCACATTCTTGGCTACCTCTGCACCAAGGCCACCAAGACCCACAAGTAGGATGCGAGAAGATCGCAGCCTGTTGAAAGGGCATAACATGCATTGTATTTATTCATATATAAGATTTCACTCACTTTTGCAGTAACCAGGGGTTATATCAAAGTCATTATTTAACAGCATTATGAGGGTATGACATACTTCAAACTGCATATGTGTAGTATTGGCAGTCTTTCAATTTCAAGCTTAGCTGAGGCCTGGAAAACAGGTACATCATTTTCACTTGAGTTAAACAATTTTTCACTTGACTCAGACACACATGCATGGGTGTCGAAGTCAGGTGAAAAACACTGTATAATGCATGTAGGCCAGGCCCAGCATAATAGCCTTACACCAAATGTCAGGGTATGGTTCACAGTTTGAAAAGGAAGAGAACTTTGTTTTCTGCAGTCAAAGTAATAATTAGTTTCCTACCTATAGTGTAATTATGACCAATATAAACATGCAGAGACAGTGAGTCATAGCTTAATGCACTGAAGTTACCAATACCAATGAGAAAATGTTAAAAAAAAAAGGTTCCTCTAGCCAGTAAGAGAAAGAGCTGCACAATTTTGAGTTAAAGGTGGGTGGGGAATCAGTAATAGGTTTTAATGAGTAAGCTAATTTGCATTCTTGAAAGGACCCACTCATTAATTCATTCAAGCCATGTAACTCTGGCCCATATGACTAGAGGGGGCCTAGTCCATTTGTGACTTGGCCTTGGGCTTTCCTTGAGTCTAACAACAAGATACCTAAACTAAGCCTACGCTTAGGGGCATACCTCTTCTGCGCATCGAGACCCCAAAGGCGGATCTGACGGTCGTAGAGCTTCTGCTCGTCTGCACTTATGGAATCCTCTGTAATAAGTGCGGCATCCATCGAATCCTGATGGGGATAGGAACTGGTCCGAACTGGTCACTTCTCTGGTTTGCACGCGTTACTCAACGTTGAGTATATATCTATGGCGGCCTGGAAGAAATTTCAGTCCAAAATTCGATCTACATTTATCATATGCCTGGATTCATGTTCACTTAAGCTAAAAGCACAGGAGAACTTAGCTAATGAAGAAAATAGAGCAGGCGAGGCGTTCCCGCGAGAACCCGGCATGCGAACTGCTGTGAGACTGCGGGCAGCCATACACGCTCCATGACGTCATTACAATAGCATGGCTCCGTTCATTGCAGAGTCGCAATGATCTCCTCCGATGACCAGTGTATTTGTCAAAGCCTTAGACCTTGGCCAAATAATGTTAGCTAGGTGCAGACTTAAGCTTCTTACTTTCCACTTAAATACTTAAAATGCCATACTTCAAACTCAACTCCAACGACCATGGATGGTGAATTGCTGTAGGAGTCAACTAGAAAGAAAAGTTAAAACAGCTAGGCCTGCAATACAGTGGCTTTCTCATGGTGATGGAGAATTTAAAATTTTCCTTCACAGATGCTGTCCAGAAAAAGTAAAGATGTGAAAGCAGTCAATGAAGGTGTTGTTGGCAGATACGTGAAAACGGAAAAATCCCCTTTAGGTTTGAAGTGCCCTTTACTTGCTCCTTGTTGCAGAGTCCATGATTCATAACATTACTCGGCGATTTGCCTGTTTATTCCTTTCCAGCCATGTATTCTCAATGGCAAGACATGGGCAATAAGAAGCATGCATGTCCTTACACTGTCTCGAGCAAAGCTCTTCCATCATCATGCAAGATGACTGCTGCCCATCACAAGGAACCCGAAGTGTATGCCTCATTTCCTTTTCAAATGAAATATGATTTAGATGCCATAGTTGGCTTACCACAGGCTGAGGAAAGGGCCAAAAGACTGCAAAACTTAGGACTAAGCTTTCATCCTTATATAGCTGGTAACGTGTGCAGACCTGAATCCTACTTTGTAACATTCCATCATAGCCTATAAGATTATGTCCCCAATTGGTGGCAGATGCAGGGGTTGGGCCAGGTGAGACCTTGGCCATCTCATTACCTACTGAGCTCCTACTTAGGTAATTCATAACACACAACCAGGAAGAGTGGTGGTTTGGGCCAGCATGCCTAAATGGCTTCTCTCAGAATGGCACATGGCCTATCTTCCATATGCCATGATGCTTAATTGTGTATCATTAAAGATTTTATTTTTCATTCTTAGGTAATTTAATCTAATAAGTCGTTTTTTGCTCTCATAGTTCAACTTCTTTCATATTTCATCATTGGTTTCAAATAAATTGGATGAAAGATTTCAACTTGGAATAAACTCAACCTTGCTATTGAACAGGATGTCCAATACCTAGGAATTATTTTACAAACAAGGTAGTACATTTTAAAGATGCCAGTCTACTGCTACCAATGCACACAGGCAATCTGTGGACCCTGCAGGCATGCCTGAAGACTTTCGTCTTATGGAAAATGAATGCACCCTGATGTAAACCTGTGATTGCTAGGCTATGACTTCATCTTAGTGGTAGCTTAGACCAGGTGTTTTCTACCTTTTCAATTTCTTTCTACCAGATTACTAGACCAATAAAACACCAATTTACTTTTGTTGGTATGATTGTACCAGCAAAAATAATTTAAACTCATGCAAGTTAATCCATGATTGAATTAACAATTAAGTAATGAAATTGTGAAAATTCCATGGCTGGTTTGCTTGGCTTTAGATTTATTAACTTATTGATGTTTTCACTTATTAAAAATATCATCTATACCAGTGACAAAAGCCTGAAGCACCAGCACTGATACTAATACTAGTATTTGAAAATCACTGGCCCAGCCTAGCCTCTCCAACCTTTTATTCTAACTTATCCTATTCTTTTTTCACAGAGTGGTCAGAGGGGGAGGCCTAATGCAAGCATTTCATGGACATGGGCCTTTTCACTATCACATTTCTGATGATCCAGGATCACAACAGGTTAGGCAAGAGGGAAAAGTTTATTTCTTATGAATCCATGTTGAGAAAGATTTGCCCACACATTGGAATTAATCATGCTTTTGCACAGGGAATCTCTAGCAGTGTTGGTCAAATTGTTCCACATCAATTAAGCGGAGGTCAACCAGCTCACACACCTCAACAGCATCCTACATCAGCAGCATCACATTCCTTCCCACAGGCTAGGCTGGCTGTTGTCCCTCATAACCCAACTTCACTCCTTCAGCAACGTGAGGATCAGAGCTCCTCTTTCAAGCCTAGGCCTACTTATTGACAGCCAAGAACTGGAATACTCAAGTCTTTTTCAATATTCAGGAGTATCACCAGGTTCTTCCATGGAGGAGCTTCCACTACCACCAGGCTGGACTGTCGACTTCACTGTCCGAGGCCGCAAGTATTACATCGATCACAACACACAGACAACTCATTGGTCTCACCCTCTGGAAAAGGAAGGCTTACCAACAGGATGGGAGAATATTGCACATCCTGAATTTGGTTCATATTATGTCAAGTGAGTTTGAGACAAGCATTCCATGTGCACAGGGAAGATGCCTTGAGACTTACTCTTTGGCTGAATGTATGTTACAGTCACATCACAAGACGGGTGCAATACGAACACCCTTGTGCTGTCCGCTATAGTCCCCATATTGTGATACCATCTTCTGTGACAGAGCAGAGGGTTGCCCTTCCTCCAAAACCACCCCATACCACTTTCCATCAGCCAAGTGTGTTGGTGCCTGCCAATCCTTATTTGAATGAAGGTTGGTCTCAGAACATTTCTTAGGTGCAGTATTTCAAGAATCTTCAGTTGTGGTGCTATTTGAGATTGACTTTTTTTCTTCTCTTTTTTCAGAAATTCCATCTTGGCTCCGAGTGTATCTGAAAGCTTCCAGTGAATTTGATAACAAGCTCCATTGGGATCTCTTCCGTCTGCCTCAGTTGGAGGCCTTTGAAGCCATGATTCGCCGCCTGCTTAAGGAAGATCTAGAAGAAATTGTCAACAGTTATGAGGCATACAGGTGAGCCAAGAATGACTGTACAAGAAAGAGATATTGCAGGTGAATATTTATGATTCATGAATACTATATCCCATGACAGAATTGCCCTAACACTGGAGATTGATAGGAGAAGAAAGATTTTGAAGCCTGTGGATCCTGAGGTGATGAAGCAGCAAGCTCTTTCTCAGAGTCATGAAACCAAGGTGTAATATCTTTAACACTATCTCCCATCTTATGAAATGGCTGACAACCTTGAAACTCTCTTCATGGAACTTCAGCTGTTCTGTTGTGCCAAAATATTAACTTTTGTTGTATGAAGGGGTACAATAAGCTAGAAAGATGCTGTGGCAATAGGCATCAGGGCCTAGAAATGGACCCTAGACCTGGGCCACCAACCCTAGGCCACAAACCAAATCTGAACCGCTCAATTGTCTCAAACAATATTCGAACTAGAACCAAAAATAAGACTTAGGGTAATTGCTGCCTGTTGCCTTTTACTACTTGTAACCAAGTTAAAGATGTGTTTTTAAAATGTTCCAATGAGGAAGTGACCTTGAACCTCTTAGAACTAGTAATCAAATGGAAGAAAGTGGAACCAGAGCTAAATACCATGCTAAACTAGGATGGTGTGGAGTGATGTACTGGAACTGAACATAAGTTGATTGTTGTGACAGCCATGAAATGAATTGAGATAAAATGAACCTGTTGCCACAGACCTGCACTGATTTCAGGCAGGCTATGCACATTTATATTACAGAATCATGGTCCAGCTATTGCACCTATTCTGGTGATATTTAGTCATCCTAGTTCAAGGCTGACCACTCCCTGATAGTGCTTCTATTCCCCCATTCTGAGATGGTTGCCATAACTAGCATGCATCAAGAGATTTCTCAGAAATTCCTCTAAAGGTTTATTGTACAAGGAAGAATTGCTATCAGCCCTTGTTCTTAAGTTCTTCAGAATGCTTATCATATGGCTTGCTTCTTTCAAGAAATGGGGTGTGAATTGAAACTTCCAACTGTGATGATGCCACTGTTGTTCCCAAATGTTTTTCTACTGCTTGCAGATGGCCATGTTCATTGGTTCCTTATTTTTTCCTTCACTTGCCCATGAGCTTAAATAATTTAATGCCTAATTTCCATGTCATCTATGTATCATTCATATTTCAATGTATGACCATACTCTGAGTTAGGTTCAGTGGGTATTTTGTGGTCGTGCCATGCTCGAGTGATCAGATTAGTGTTCATGATATTCATTGTAGATCTGTTCTCTCTCTCAAGTCTGGGTATGACCTCATTCATTCTGCTGTGATGTGATGTGCAGCCTTACTTGGCTCTTCCTGTGATCACTTTCAAATGAAGAAAGACTTAGCTACATTGATTTGAATAAACTGTTTTCAAATGTCTGTTTGCTATCCAATGCTGAAGAGATAGAACACATCATTCCTGTAGTTCTTCACTTGTAACTTCACTTGATGTCACTGGCTTCCCATCTTTAACTACAATGTTTTCTACTTCACCTGAAGCATCTACATAATACTCATTCACTTTTGAGATTCCACGAAAATGATAAACATGAGCTGCACCAACACCAAGAGTCTTTGACCATTCAGCACCTGAAATTATGAAAAGACAAAAAGTTAGTCTAAAATTTACCAGCAATACCTGAAGAAAATGAAATTGCTATCTACATGAAAATTACTTGCCTGGTCCTTTGACTTCATTGGGGGCTTGATGGAAGAAGCGACTTTGTCGCTCCCGCCATGAAGGCCAGTCTTTTGTCTTCAACGCATAGAGGAGTCCACCAGCTGCTGTCCAGGCAGAGATAGCATACATAATACTCAGACGGCGCCTCCATCTTAGGCTTGTATCAGGAATTGGTGGGAAAATCCTTTCAAAGATGTATTTAAAAAATGATTTTTGTGCTGGGCCCCTCTCTGGTTTGTTTTTCCGCCTTGGGGGTGGTTTGAAATCCATTAGAGCACACCCTAGACACCAAAAAAAACAAGGAAACTGATGAGCCATGATCCTTGAAACCTCAGTACTTGTAGTGTATGACTATTGAACTAAACAAGCCAAAGATCTGTGGTATGTGTAGAAACCTCATGTACTAAAATATAATTTTTCTGAAAAAAAATCAAACTACAGAGAAAGAGTTCCCCAGGCAGTGGATAAGTGGGTGCAGAGTCATTGACTGGCCAGCATGTAGTCCTGATTTTACCTCGAGATTTCTTTAGGTGGGAGTATTTGAAGCCAATTGAGTAAGGTGAGCAAACAAGAACATGGAAAGAATCTGAGCTCATCACCTACAAGGAATTTAATGTCATTCTAGGTCAGAGGCTTCAGCCAGGATGCAATAAATTCAAGCTGAGGATTAAAAAATGCATCAGTGAAGAGAGAAGCCATATTGAATGTTGTTAAGTGGATTGTCTGGACTGTCATAATTTCCCCATGAGATGTAACCCTAACCTTTGAGTTCTTAAATGAAGCAATACTGCTTTCTTCTATAGTTCAAGATTTACATAAAATGTAAAATAGTCAGCAAACTTCTCATACACCCTGTAGAAAGCAAGCTTCCATCAAGGGCAACAGGGAGAGGGTTACTATGAGTTCCCTTCATCCTGTTAATTACTTGGAAAAGTCAGACATGAGGATTGTATTGATCATTTCTAAATAAAAAACCAGGTTTCATTATTGAACCTCTGGGCATAATATGCTGGAGAAAATAGATCAGGATGAGACTAACATCAGCCAGTTGGCACCTTTCCCAACTATTTCTAGGAATTTTTATTATGCCTTTCATCTATGATTCAGCTTCCTGCCTATTTCAAACACAAAAATCACCTTCAACTCAACAGGTGTTGAAGGAAAAGGGCTGAATAAATAAAAGCTAAACGGAAAAATGTTTCCAAGTTTGGAAAGAGCTGGATTTCACTTTTGTTGGTCAATCACAACTCTGTTGTTCATACAAAAAATAATAGACTAAGGGAATAAAAGTTTTTCACTCATGAGCATTGAACTAATCATTTTAGCAATGCTGACAGTTTCTACCAACTTGTTAACTGACTGCAAATCCTATGGTTGGTTGACTCACAGTAAGATTAATCAAAATCCCCCTCATTCAATTTTCCTTGCAACAACTTTTCTGAGGACATCCTTCAAATTTAATATAAACAAGCATTGAAAGAAAAACAAGGCATGAAAAACCTTTTTCTCCCCCCTTAACCACTGGACCAGAACATGTTCAGCTATAAGAGCAGCACCTTTGAATTCCTTGTTTAACAATGTCTCTGATTTCAAACATAAAACTGTTATGGCTGGAAAGTTTGGTGATAAATAATAGACCTAGGCATGTGGTAGAATTTGTGTGATTGCCTTCCTTGAGGTACATGACATGACACTGACTTAATCAACAAGACCTGGATACCAAGATTGAAAGGTCAGAGGCATGGGTTCAGGTGAACTGGCACAAGAACTATGAAGACATTTATGTGGAGTTCAGCAGAATGAGAGCTGTTGGGCAGTTGGGGGACAAAATATAATTATTGATTACTGGAATGATTCATTCTTGAAAGGAGTTATGTCTAAAACACTGCATACCTCCACTGTGTTGTATTCTTTATATAGGGGGAGAAAAAGGTTTATTGATGCCCTGTACATGAAAAGTGGAACAGGATCAAACTTGAAGTATAGTGGTCTGCAGTAAGAAGCAGAATCTTGATTTATCTTAAGATTATGATTTAGCCAGTACCACTATGCATACTCATGGATGATTTCACACTAAGACTGATCTCCAAATTTAAAGATCAGTACTACAAAGCAGATCCAATTTCTATAAGAAACCCAAGGGTCAATCAAAGTAACAGGGGACTTTCCAGAACAGAGCATTATACTTTGCTTCTTCTCCTTTATAGTACCAAACATGGTCTGAAGCTCTGAGATCTTGCAGCACAGGCCTTAGGACTCTACTGACCTGGATTCCATCAAATTCAGACTGGTTTATGTTGCATCCGACTCTAACTACAATAAATACCAAGTTCAGCCCATTTTGAATATCAGGCATTAGAGCTCATCATGAGGGATCAGTCAATCTATGACAAGGAAAATGTCTACTTCTCCCAAGCTCCCCCCAATTATTGAAACAAATTAAAAATGGAAGCTTGAAGGATGGATCAGAGTAATGATGGAATTTATGATGATCTTGTCCTCAAAGCTCCAGAAATATTTGAAATTGGTAATGGTTAAGTGTAAGAATGTCTCTTTCAGACGCCCATTTTAGTAGTGTTGGAGCCCTTTAAGAATCAGTTCTCTTACATACAGCATTGTCCAACCCTACACATGGGAGATGCAGGGATCATACATGAGAATGAAAATGGGATGACTAACAGCTGTATAAAGCTTAGAATAAGGATAGTCTTGAGGAATCATGTTGGATGTAAGCAGAGATACAAAGAATATGCTTTAAGGAAAGATACATTGATGATCTTAAAATGTGAAACTAATGTCAATAAGGCATAATTTTGATTCCTGGAGGTGCTTGAAAATGTTGTAGATGAAGAGGAAAGCTGATTGAAATGGATTTCCATGTTTTGAAACTGTGAGCTTCCAAAATGTGAAACCCAATGAATAAACTAGCACTTGGAGGATAATAAATATATTTCATTTTTCCCTCTCTTGTTACTCATTTGTATCCATACAGATCCCAGATCTTTGGAAGACAATTGATATTGGTCAGTTCCTTTATCTTTTCATAAAAATTCAGTATTGAGGAAGTTTGCTTGAAATTTTATGAACAGACATTTTCAGGCATTGTAACTTGACATCCTGATGCATGGATGTCAAGTTTCCCTATAACAGACATACTCTTACTAATGTAAAAAAATACACAGAAATATTTCAGATACATAATCAAAAAAGCTGCTGGTGAGTTTATGCTAAGTCACAGCACTTTGCTTTTGAGCCCCTCATATGGTAGTATCAATAACTTTATGCAACAATAAACCACAAGCCAATGTCAATTCAAACTGCAGGTGGGAAGGAGCAGTTGCTGGTACTCAAGTTGCAAACATTAGCAACTCCCACCGACACTGCTGAAAGACATCATGATTTACAGAAGCAGAAACATCAGGAATGAACTGCATAGAGCCATCTCTGCCTGAATTTTACACAATGCCCTAAAAAAAAAAAATAGAAAGGCATTTGATACATAAATATCAGACATTTCATCCATGCAATCACAGTTTACAAAATACTAGCAATGGTATTCTTGATCAAAAACATCAACAGCAAATGAGAATTAAAAATTAATTGATGAACAGGATGTGATACAGACACTGCTGTCACACTCAATGGAAAAAGAAAACACAGATAATCCAGGTACCATCAAGAGCCCGAAAGAAATGAAGAAGTGAAAAGCTGACCAAGTAAAGTGATCAAATACATGACCAGGGGTAATACTAAATTATCTACTTGAGTTGTGAATGCTTCCACAGCTGTGGTTGCCAAAGCTCCAATGATTATCACAAGGCATTCTGTTATTTTCAAGCTCCCAAGAAATGCAATGCTCAGAGCACAAGCTACTTGTGAGAAGAAACAGCCAGCAGAACCGATGTATGACTTTTGTGAGCCAGGCCACTTTGTCTTGCCAAAATGGGTTCCCACTATACTTGCAACAGCATCCCCGATGCCAATTGGAAGAACACCAGAGAGACAGATCCAAGGGCTTAAGCCACCATAGGGGCTCAGCCAAAGGGGCAAAGAGCACCCAGCAAGGAGATAAATTTGAGTCAAGATGAGCCATCCAGAATCTTTTTCATCCTGGAAGTGCTTGTAACTGGAATTCAGAAGAGAGTGAAATGGCTCAATCATAGCACACCGAAACATTTCCAAGAGGAGGAGAAGATACATTGCTGCACACGAAGCCAAGTAGAGGATAGGAGGATTAAAGAGAGCCCCAGAAAAGAACACTAGGGAAATGAGGAAGTGGAAGTACTTCCTGCGAATAGTTGTTCCAGGAAGATCCTCAGAAACACAGATATAAATGATAAGAATGGCAGCTACAAAACAGAGTGCCCATGCAAGCAAAAGGACAATAGATTTCATTTCAGTGAGTGAAGAAAACAAGTCCTGAAAAAACTGATTACATCTGCCATGGAACTTTGGATAGATCACACCTAATGCCACAGTAGTACTCACAAAAAATGTCATCCAAAATTTTTGCACAAAGAGTGTTTGAGCATCATGGGTGACTAGAAAAAATGTCACAAGAAGGGAAAGAAGGAGTGCCTGTGACAATACAGTTTCCTGATACAGTAAAGTGGTACTATTGAAGGATTCAACATCTGAGACCAGATTATTCACAAAGCAATGCACAAAAAAGGCTGCACCCTGGCACACAAGAACGAACTCTCCTAGAGAGAAACTGTTACAAGATTTAACTGGGAAAAAGTGGAAAATGGCACTGAAGACACAAGTTGCAAGCAATGACTGGGGTCCATAATACAAAAAGAAGCAAGCAAAAAGGATAACCAGAATCAACAAGCACTCCAACACCGTCCTTTGTTCTTTATCCCCATGAAAAGAACGAGTTTTCCAAGGGATGGAGAGTGGGATGAGGAATGACATGATGAATGCAAGGCCAATATCTACCTTCCCTTGACATATCAAGACCAAAGGAAGAAGGAAGGCACAGTATAGTCCTTTATCTTTGGTTCTCCAGGAAGGAACTCTTGTCATCTTCAAATATGTTGACATGAGTAAATGGGTCCACTATCAGTACTTCTGTTGACACAGGCATAGGAGACAGATCAATTGAGGAAAACCAGCTCCAAGATCCAAGACCTCCCCTGCAGTGACATGAATAATGTTGTACATGCTAGTTGCTAATGGAGAGAAAAACAGAATCATATCAAATACAGTACAGTCAAGTAAGTTTAATTAATGAATAGGTATGAATTGTACATTGACTGTTAGGTAGATTATGAAGATGTAGCCATTCTTCTCCACCATCAGCAGAGCAGTGGCTCTCATCTTGGGAAAATTGACAAGAAATAAGTCAAAAGTCTGCTTTGGAGCTATGCTCTTGATATGATAATTTATACTGCCCCAAAGGGCATATGAAGTCTACATGGAGAACTTGAGTGGGAAAATAATAGGCCAAGGTCATAATATGAAAGGATGACTAAAGACAACCCCAGACTTCAGGTGCTGAACTTTTATGATCAAAAAGTACTGCCAAGACAAGGAATCCATGAGTGGAGAGTAATAACATTTGATCTATCACAATAATTAAGCTAGAGATCAGTCAGGAGATCTAAAATTAGTTAACATATTTCAATATAAAGCACAAACCCAATACTTTCAGGAAAAAAATCACTTATTCATTAGTTACTGCTTCATGTGACTATAGCATTTACTATAACTGCACTTGCTTGAAATTTTTTAAAGCATTGCTCATGACAGGCAAATAATAGCGAATTTCAACAAACATAGAGATCATACAGAGAACACCAAATGAAAGGCTAAGCAGTTCATGAATTTTCAAAAATTGGAAGAAAGCAAGAATAGCTCAAACTACAAGGTGCAACAATTAAGTTTCTGGACTAAATTTTTTTATGAGCATGGTGGCATCACTACAATTACTGCAACACCAAGGAGTGATACACTGAACTGTTGGGCAGTAATGTGCAAGTCCTCATTTGACTACCATAATGAAAAAGGGATAGGATAGCAATGAAGTAAGACTCTGCATACAGTGCCAGTCATCTTCATAGAATGAAGCAATGAATCACCAAGTTTTGCTTTGTACAGGGGAAACCTTTTTCAGAAAATCAAAAAATGCATGGATAGGATGCTTTGTCATGTTTCAGGGATTTTTAGTTGATTTTAAGGTTTTGATCCAGTAGAAAAGATGTCAAACATGATGATAGGTGTGGCCACCTGTCCATTAGTCAAAACAATTAAGATGTTGCACTTGCATCATAGCATCAGATCAAAACCTTGCAAACCATACAAAAGTTCAGGATCATGACAAGGCATCCAATAGATAAGAAAAGTGAATGACATGTAATAGAGATTGTCTGTCATTCACACAAGGTCATTGACAATAAATTTTCACACAAAACAGATTCTCTGGGACCACTTCACCTTATTTCACTCCCTTTCCAAAATGAGCCATTGTCTTCCTTCAATTGCTCAATGCTCTGCGAAATTCACCTGTTGTTCTTCAAGTTAATATCTCCCCATGGTACCTACCCTAGCTAAGGGGAATTGCAAATGAACTTGAACAAGCACCTTGGGATATATTAATCCAAGGCATTGTCCGCCAAGACTATGACAATGACACAGATAGCACCACAAGGTTGAGAGATATGTTCACCCACCATTGAATGTATGACCCTGGGCTAAACCATCTCAAGTTGGAATTTTAATTTTCTTTATCTTTCAAAATCCTTAACAATTTTCTGATTAAACTCAAAATAATGCAGCATATCACATTTCTGTGCCTTCCTTTGCCATTAAAAGAGTCAGAAAAATTAATACACTAGCATTTAAAATTTACCATTGACTGTAGTTTGAAAATCATAACATGTCCATTTCCATTCAACCAAGTTTTCTCATTGTAATGGATCTTTCAACTGACTTTAAAAATTCTATTCCTGGTACATTTTGTGATAGTTGGTGGGAAAAAAAATAACTGAGGATTTCTTATACCATACAGGCTGTAAAGCTGTATGATTCAAGGATGCACAATTTGATTTTTTAAATCTAAGCTTATCATATCTGATTCATTACTAAGTGGTAATAATTCTTGGCATGTTAAAGATATTTTTGCAAGGATAAGGCATTCAATCTTAACTGATTTGAGGTGAAACCTTATTTTCAATTCAAAGCAATCAAATTCAATCACACAGGATTAGATGGCTTTTATTTCCAATGCTGACAGTCCATGACAGCAATTTTTAAGAGGATACAATTTTTATCCTCTGAGAGTCATTAGAGGATATTCAGCAAAAACCACTCTGCAGCTTCTGAAAAAACAATCCTAGTAATATTCATATCTTATATTGATTTAGAAAAATTGACTATTCCAAGAGAATAATATTGCCATACAATTGTTACTTACTAAGAACAAACTTTGGGGGCATTTTCTTTAGTTTTCCTGGAGGTGTATACATACTAATGGGCCATCAAAAACCATTAGTAGACAAAACTCAAGACCTGAGGTAGAAATCATTTCATCTCATATTTAAATAAAGATGGCTAGCTGGATTTGACAACTTTCTTCTTTGCTTTCATTTTCAAAGCTGGGGGAGGGCCAAGATGCTTGAAGACTGTGTGACATGTTGAACAAATAGGACTGAATTTGCAGAATATGGACAGACATATGGAACACACATAACCCACATCAATCAAGTTTCGGTGGCAGAAGCAGGCTGCTCGATAGTCCACAGGTGCTTTGGGAGGAAGGATAAACATGCTTCTTTCCTCAACACTACCCAAATACACCCATGATAAAAACTGTAACAATCCCTGCACACGTTCAATACGCAGATACATTCCACCTGTGATATCACATGCTTGCTGCAGTAGCCCAGAATGCTGTCCTATCATGCAGGCATCTATAACAACTCCTTGCTTTTGGGCAGAGAAAAAGGCATTCATGTAAGACATATATTGAGAGGAAGCATTGGCAGCAGCAGAGATTATGAGAATTCGCCAGTGTAGCGTCTGAGCAGGAGCACGACCTTGCTCAAGACGATTGATATAACATAGGCTCTTTGCAAGGCCACCAGCAAGTAGGCTGTCTTCACCTTCAGTAGACACTAGATTCACAAGTGCTGTCTTCATTTCCAAGGGACTTTTTTTTTGTCTTGAAGGATCAAGTATGTCATCTTGACTGGAAGAGATATACTGCACAGTCATTGAATTACAGCCAATGATGGTTAGGTGATTCTCTGCTTCAAAGAGGGGATAGATGTTTGCAAATGCCAGAACACTTTCAAGACACCCTTTAAATGTCCCTGCATCAGGAGAGAAGTCCACCCAAGGACGGATATTGAGATCCAACAGAAGTATGAGATGATTCACATCAACCCTGTCATCAGCAGCAGAGCTACCCTTCTGTGTAGCATTAACTGATAGGGAAGAGCTGCCGCTTCCACTCATCTTCACTTTCTACACTGCTCACCTTGAACAAAATCCATAGAAGAGCCTCTGGCCTAAAGCAGATATTTTAGTCTCAGTTTAGTTCAAGTCAAGTTTCAGATTATCTCCAGTTGTCAGGAGTCTTCTAAACTTAAGATCCACTGCTTATTGTAACTGTAACTGGAGATAAACTGCCATGAAACTGGTGCAAACCTGAAAATACAGGTAATCAGCATCTACAAGGACCACTTGAAAAGTTATCTACCTGACAGAATGAGTTCATGTAGAGAGTTGAATCTGTTATTGCTTTTCTATATAGTCACCCCTAAGTTGAATACACTTGTCCCATTTGCCTAGTAACAAAGACATTCCTGTGAGAAAAATTTCTGAGTCTTGCTTCTCCAACCACTCACACACAGCAGTCTTCACTTCTTCATCCCCGCTAAACTGGCAACCGCATAAATGTTTCTTCAGTTGCTGGGACAAATAATCACTTGGGGCCAGGTCTGGACTGTAGGATTGGTGAGAGATTTCCTCAAAGCCTCAAACACTCAAATATTTTTTTGGTGAAATCCCTGCTTTTGTAAGGAACTTCATAACAGCTTGATACTCCAGCTTCGTGTTGTCCGTTTGAATAATTTTCAATATGCTCACAGCTAAACTACTGACACACTACTTACCTCATACTCCCTCTAAGTAATATTTATACTTCAATGTACGTAACTCTCTTTGCAAACAGTTCTTATCCCTCCTCTTCCATACCCAGGTAGATAACTTTTCAAATAGTCCTTGTATATTTTGAATTTCCTTGTTAACTGAAACCAGCATCACATGTGCCAAGTTCCCAGTTAACAGCATGAACATTTTCCCATACAACCTGTTTAGCTAGTTTGTCTCCAGCTTAGTTGACGATTAACTAAGATTAACTGAAACTAGATGCAAATTTAAAATGAAGCTAAACTGGTAGAAATAAATCACTGACAGTACTTAGCCTATCATGTATGTCAGGCCTAACAGTAGAAGCTTAACAAAACGTTACATTAGGAGATCGTACAATATATCTGATGTCAGATTTCCTGTACATCTTGCTGGGCAAAAGGAGCGATAGCCACGATCGCATTCAGAAGTCAGTGTCCGAGCCGGTAAGACCCATGCTACAGTCCGGGACCATGCTGTAAGGTTGCCTCCATCTTTTATGTCGTAGGATTATGTCTGCCTCCTGAAGAGCATGTGCCAACAAAAGTTACATTAAGTCACGATGAAGACACAGTATCTTTAGCGATGGTGAGCTGATAGTCCGCGTAAAATCATACCTTTTTCAGTTTTGGATCATGAGAAGAGATTGCAAGTGCATCCGTTTCGAAGATGGAACGGCTGGCTTCGTCTGTACGGAGATGGAAGGGAACTCCTTGAATGTGAGCGTGACTCAGGACTTCACCTGCGCTTGGAGTGGATCGGTGTGTCTCCTTCCCCTTATACCATATAATGTTTCGGTCTAGGCTTGTAGAGTAATTTCACTTTCAATTTTCCAAACAATCAGCATCGTCCTTCAAGATAAAGCACAAAAATGTATTCTTTTTATATTTATTGAATCTACAAGCTGTGCATTTCCCCATAACCTGAAGAATGTGTTAATAGCCTGATTTTTCTCAATTCTCCCCTTTCATGGCACTCTCCTGCTTCTGAGTAACATAGCTTCATGTAATTCCTCTCCTTCCCAGTACAAAAGACTTCTGATTTTTTTCCTGTTTTCATTGCAAAGAATAGTTTATCTCAGTCATCTGAAAGTCGATTTTGAAGTTTTGAATGAATATCATCTTTGATAAGGGTCAATGTTTATTCACTTAGTTGTAAGCTTACCTTCTTAGGAAGTGAGAATAACTGTGTTTACTGTTGCTTGGCATATGCTAGGCCTAACAGAAAGCTAGTGATACTAATGTTTGATGTTATCTGTGACCTTGGTTATGTTCATAAGCAGCAGTTGACAAATTTTTTTAATCACATTGAGTTTTTACATTTCCAAATGGCAGTGACTTTTCAATGGTAATCACATTGGTGTGGACTTAGGACTTTTCTCAGCAGCCTGTCACCCTTCATATTTGCTTGCATTCATTTGAATGATAAGTGGCAAAGTTCCTTTTTTTGTTGTTATTCCCTATAGGGAAGCCTTGAAGATCTAAACAAGATTGACAAACTGGACATGAGGCAAGTCACAGACGAGGCCTTGCTGCGTATTCCATCCACTCGCACATTCATGTATGCACTGGGGTGCTCAGAGAAAGAATCAGCTGTCTTCAAGTGGAAACTGAGCCAGGGCAATGTGAAATTCATAATAGGGTCTCTCAAGCTCAAAAGTGTGAGTGATTGTAAAGATTTATGTGTCACAAATAGGACTACTATGAGATTAGTGATTAGCATAAAAACTGCAAAAGTAAATTGGTGGTAGCTGATATGCAGCTGTACACTGAAGGAGAAACCCCTACTGTGTATAGCTGCATTCCTTATATTTTCTCTACAGGGTGGACGGGATAGTCCCGTCCTATTTTATGCGATATTTATGCGATAATTGAGAACACTTCTTTTATGTAAAAAAAATGTTTATTTCAACAGTTTACAGCTTGTATATGTTGCTGGACATGCAGGGGAACATCATCTACTCAATATAGCCACCCTCCTCTTTAGCCACCTTGTCCACCCGGCCCCTGAAGGCATCGCACACCTTCTTGATGTACTCGGGCGTCATCCCCGCCCAGGCAGCCCTGATGGAGTCCTTGAGGGCCTCCACATTCTTGTGGCTGTGTGTGCAGGCATTCTCCTGCATGTGATTCCAGATACTGAAATCCAGCGGATTCAAATCCGGCGAGGATGGCGGCCAGAAGTCCTTGGGCCAGAACCTGTGGCCGAGCTCCCGGACCAGTATCTCCT